CTTCTTGGTGAATGTTCGATCGTTTTTCCTTTCCAGCTTATTGTAAATATATCATTCCTTATATTTGTATATATAATCTCAGTTTGGTGCAGACTTGTATTTGTTTTCGGTCTTTCTAAATGTTGGTCATATTGTATTGCCCATAGAATGTTTTTTCTTGCTGCTAGTGCTTTGAATGTTAATCTATCACTTCCATTATTTGTTTGTAGCAGTTGAGTTATGTTGTAAGTTGGTGTATTCTTTATTATGCTTGCTGTGCTTGTTGTATATTTGTAATTGCACAGTATGTTTATCTTTGCTCCATAAGGTACTGCTAGTAGTATGCAAGATAGTGTGTTACATAATATTTTTTGGTCAGATGGCCAGGTGCTTGTCATTTGGTAGAATTGTATTTCTTTGTTTCTTGTCCACCAGTGTGCTGTTATCTTTAGTATATTCCTGATTATATCAGTTTGTATACTTAATGCTATATCAATATTCTTTAGTTTTTGGCTGCTCATTTGCTTATGAATGTTCGATATTGTAAGTTTCGTTTCTGTATCTGAAAGTACTTTATCAATATTGTTTAGGTTTGTTCTTAGTAGTTTGGTGGTTGATATAGGTGTTGTTGTCTTTTTGTTGCTTGTTTGCTTGATGTATTTATACGTTAGATCTTTGTAGTTGCTTCTTAATTTGTTTTTGTAATCGACTTGTATAATACTTGTTTCTGCTGATAGTTTTATTCTTATCATGCATTTTTTTTGTTTTAGTTTTGTTCTGTCTTTATGGTTGCATCCTTTGCATTTTTGTAATTGCTCATATCCATTGTAGATCTAGTGTTGGATGTCTATGTATGTTGAGGTTAGTCTGCTTACTTTGCCTATTATTTTGTTTTTGTATATAATCTATTTCTTTTTTCTTAGTGTTTCATTGTGCATTATGAACAGGTTTGGTTGTGTCAATCTTGTGTTATTGTGTTCTAGCCAACAGTTTGTTTCTATTATTAGCTCGTTGTACTATTTTGGTTGTCTGCCTCTTGGTATTCTCTTTATTGTATATGGAAGGGTCTGCCATGTCCTGGTTTGTGTCATATTGTGATTTAATAATTGTTTGATATAGTAGAGGTTTAAATTATTTAGTTTGTTTTTTATAGCGCTTACAGCTGACATGTTGTTTAAGATATTATTAATTGATGTGCCTTGTTGTAAGTGAGGTTTTGGCCAAGGGTTATTGTTGCTGCTGAAAGCAATTTGGTTTTGTTGGCATATTTAGATTATTTTCACAGTTGTTATATTGTCTTGTGTATTTGATATAATTATTATGTTGGTTGACAAGATAGACTCATTTGTTGCTGCAGCATTTTGTAGTTGTTGCAATCTTATTTTGAGAGAGGATGTGTTGAAGAGAGGGTGGTTGAGTAAATAACTCATTATTGATATGTATTGTTGAGTCTGTATGTCTTCTACCGTTCTAAGACTATATATTTTGTGATGATGCATTGTTGAGTTTGGTATGCTAGATGCCAGGCCTGCTTTGTGTTTTATCATGTTTGTATAACTGTTTGTAATTTGTTTGCATGTTGAGGGTGCCAAGGTAGTGTTTTGTATTCGGTAGGCAATTCTTGTGAGAATTACTGTGTTGACTATGTATATGGCTTGTTTGTCAGTGATTCTGGCTCGTCTCATCCATTTTAGTGCATTTGTCACCTCTTCTTTTATAATTTTGTGTACTGGTGTATGTTTTTTGCCAGTTGTATACCAACAGCCAAGGAATCTGAAGCTTGCTTTTGCGTCTATTGCCTTTATTGTTGTGTTGTTAAATTTTATCTCTAGGCTTGGTGATTTTGTTATTGCTGCGAGTACTGATTTTGTTGGGTTCATCTGAATGTTTGTTAGCTGGTAGAAAGTTGTTGCAGTATTTACGATATCTTGTAATTGCTCTTTTGTTGGTGCGATCCATAAGGTATCATCCATATACGCCAGTATCGAGTACTTTGTTTGAATCTTTGTGTTGTCAGATGCTTCAATGTTAGTATATGACTTGAGTATGTAACCGGTGTGTTGCTTTGATATTCTTGTTATTAGAGGATCATAGTAGATTCTCCATAGTAGTGATGCTATTGTCTCCTCTTGATCTATTCCGTCGTATACTGAGTATTTGTTTGTATTCCCTAGGTTTGTAATTACATGGTTTGATCTGTCTGTAAATATTTCTGTAATCAGTGCTATGATGCTATTAGGTATCTTTAGTCTTTGTAGTACCATTTTAAGCAGTGGTATGTGTACCGAATCATATACTTTTGACATATCTTGTGATAGTAACCACAGTTGTTCTTTGTTTGTATGAGCATCTTCTATTATATATGAAAGTGTTTGAATAGGTATCATTGTTGATATATTTGGCAGTGCTACATAGTTGTTGATATTTAGTATTGGATATTGTGTATATATCATGCTTATTCTTCTTGTTAGTATTTTAGTAAAAATTTTTCTAGTGTGTTCTATTAATGTAATAGGTCTTGTTTGATTAAGTTGCCCATTGAATTTGAGTTTTTTTAATATGGGGTAGACTGTGCTCTGTTTCCACATTTTTGGTATAGTTTGTAGTATAAGACTTGCATTGAATATCTTTAATAGTACTAGCAGCGTGTCATTGTTTAAGTGTTTTAACATTTCGTTGCTTAGTTGTTGAAGTTCGAGAGCCTTATTTGTAGGAGCTTTATTAATTGTTAGCTCAAGTTCTTTTAGTGTTATAGTTTGGGTCAGTTTGTCATACCAACTAGGTTGTATGTGCTGTAAGGGCTAGTATTCTTCTTGCCACGTCTTCTATATTAGTATATTAGGATTGTTGTGTTTGGTCCACGTTTCGAAGTGTTGCTGTATTTTTTGCTTTATTTCTTTTGGTTTTGTATATAGCTTATTGTCTTCTTTTATATTTTCAAAGTGTACCGGGTCTGTATGTCGGTTTAGAATGCTGTCTATCATTTTTGTTGTGTTTGCTTGAAAGTTGTTATACCTGTTATTGATATGTTGATTGATCTGCTTTCTATGATTTGCGTTGTTTTCAATTTGCCTTGCTGCATGTATTGTTTTTTGATAAGATTTGATTTGCACATACATTTGGTTGTATTGTTGCTTTGTTATTTTCTCATTAATTATTGGGATTTGTGTTGTCGCTAGTTTGTTGATTTTCTGTATACTTTTGTTTATGTCTTCTATATTTATTATGTCCTCTTTATTGTTTTTTAGATTTCTAAGTGTTTTGTTAATTTCTGTTAGTGTACTGTGTAGTTTTGTAGCTTTTGCTGAGAAAGCATAGTAGGTCTTTGGTCTAACTTTTGTTTTTGGTATGTTCTTTTTTGCCGCTGTTGTTACTGTTGTGCATAGTTGGTTCCATGTCTTATTCAGCTCCTGTATATTTGTAATCATTGTTGCAATCTTCATATTGTTGAGTTTAGTTGATACATCTTGTGCAAAGTTTTTCCATAAGTCGTTGGTCATTTCATTATATTTATATATCCAATGTTTTCATTTATTTCTTCTTTGTATCTTGAATGTTGGGTTGGTTTGCCAAGTTATTTTAAGTATTTGGTAGTCGCTATTCGTAATTTCATCAGGTGGTATAAGTTGTAACTTTGAACATTGGTATAGTATTGATGTTGGTAACCATATATCATCTATTTGGCTGTATCTATCTTGTCTTTTCCAGGTTGGCTCTGTTATGTTGAAGTGTTGTATAGCACTTTCTAGACCATTCTGTCTCATTGCCTGAAATATCTGTGAGCTTTTGTTGTACTGTTTTGTGTAATTGTAGTTAAAATCACCTAGTATTATTGTGTTGTAAACTTTGTTTGTTGCTTCCTTTATTCAGTTTGCTACTGCATTTTGTGTGCTTAAATTTAGTTGTTTATTGTTTGTTGGTAAATAAACTGAGACCATACGGATTTGGTTCTTGTTCAGGAAGTAGAAGGTGATCGCAATTGCCGTTTCAGGATAAGTTAAGATATTATGTATGTATAGTTGTAGATTATTATTGATTGCTATTGCTTTCCCCATACTTGCCTCTTGTTTATTAGCTGTAGCTATTGTGCTGTTTGCCGTGTATTTTTTGTAAAATGGGTTAGATAGTGTAAGTTCAGAGTAAGATTATTCTGCGATTTTTGTTTCCATTATACTGATGATGTGGAAGTGTGCTTTGTGGCAGAACTCAAGCCAGATTTGTAATTTCATTCTATTGTTTAACCCTTGTACATTATGCATTACAATGTTTAGTTCAGTAATTGTTGTTATATTGTTGTTGATGTATTTGTTTTGAGTATGTTGATCTATAATATTAGGCAAAGATGTCCCAGGTTGGTTTTGGGAGTGAAGGTAGTTTGAGTAGATATTCTGGAATTATCGATATGGTGAAGTGTTGTCTTAGTATTTCAAGGGTTGGTGTTATATCTTCTTGTTTTTCAATAGGAATCGTAATATAAATTTCATCAGTGAAGGTTTTCAGTGCTTTCTGAAGTTTTACAAGTGATTGTGGTATTTCTGGTTTTGGAGCAGTTAGCTCTGTTGTTGTGTTTTGTGTTATGTTGATCCAACTAGTTGGTATTTTTAAGAAGTAGTATTCTTGTCATAGTAGTCGTGCTATGTCTACTAGTTGTCTTAGTGTAGTTATAGGTATCGTGATGTTGAACTGTTTAATTTGTTCAGGATCTTCTGGTAGTCGTGGCTTGTCTGTAGGATTGGCTGTCATAATTTCTGAGCTAATTGGGAAGGTTACTTTGTATTTTTTCTTCATATCTACTAAGAATTTCTTTGCTTGTTCATCTTCTGTTATAGGGTATATGTATATAAAGATGGTTTTTATATCCTTAGGTTGTTTTGGTAGTAGTGGTTTTTGTTTGAAGTAATCATTTGGAATTGTTCTAAATTTGTAATGCTTGTGCAGCGCGTCTGCTACTTGTTGTATTGTCATGCAACTATTTTCTGGATCAAATGGGAATAGTGCACGCACATGGCTGTTCAGTTGATAATAGGTTGTTGGTAGTAGTTCTTTTTCAGGTGGTAAATTGAAGTATGATGAGGGTATTCTTGAGAATGTGTAGTGGTCTGCCAGTTTGCTTCTTAGGTAGCTTAGGTTTGCTAGTTGCTTTGGTGCAGTAATTGAAAAGTATTTCTTTAATTTTTCTTTTATATTTGTTACATTTGAAGGTAGCTGTGGTAAGGCTGTAAAGTAGGTATCTGATAGGGTTGTGAAATTGAACAGTATATGTAATGCAGTTGCTGCTGCTTTTGTTAGCAATTTCTTTTCAATTGGTAAGTCAAAAGGTAATAGTTCCATTATTTCTACATCTATTTCTTTAGACAAGTCTGATAAGTCTTGTTTTTTCACTGCATATGCCTGATAAATTGTATTTTGTATTTGTTGTATATTTTCGATTCGTGATGCTTTAATGAAGTTTCTGCAGTATTTGATCACCTGTGTTGCTTGTCCTGGTATTAACTGTTGGAAGTTTAGATTTATGAGATACTCAACAATTAGCTTTTGTCGTAGTTTAAGTTGAATTTAATCTCGAGTTTGTTTGTTTGTCAAGGTTATCTTATGGTGTGTCTTGTATCTGTTGATTGCATTTCTAAAGAGCTCGTCGAATTCTATTTGGTGAGCTGGCTTGCTTTGTTTGTTGTTGGTAAAAGATATGAAAAAAGCTAGATTACAGAACTTAAATTTAAGAAGAATTGTTAGAGGGATGGTGTAGTTTGTAGGTTGTGTGTCTAGTTTATATGAGATGAAGTCTTTAATCCCTTTGCAATCATTTAGTGCACTGATAATATTATCGATAGGCCAGGAATTGTGATTGAATTGATCTTTGATTCTTGTATCTAGTTCTTGAATTATGTGTTTTGACCAACTGCTTGTAATTTCTTTAGCTTCTTGTTCATCGATTCTCATCTGATCTAAGTCTATATTTTGTCTTACTGCTTGGCTATAAGTAAACTGTGGCTGACTATTTGGTCTTAGTCTTGTTTCTGATTCTGTGTTTGTAGTTGGGTCATATATGTTGTTGTTGTGTTCTCGATTTGTATTATTATTTATGTTGGTTACTGTATTTTCTTTGTTTTGCTGCATATCTGTATTTGTTGTTTGTGGCGTTATACTTTGCACCTGCCTGTTTAGGTTGTTTGTTGTGTTGTTGATTCCTGTTTCTGATGTGTTTGTGCTGTGGTTGTCTTTTTTGATAATTGTTGTGTTGTTTTGTTGTACACGTGATGTTGTGTTGTCTGTTGGCGGGGTAAGCTAGATTGTCCACTTTTTTGTGTTGTTGAAAGTTGAGTAAAGAACTTTTGGCTATTGTAGCGACGCCTTTTTAGTTGGGAGTCTATATTTTGTTGCTGCCCTGTTCTATTATTCTGTCTATTCATAGTGTAGATACTAGTGTTAAGCCTAGAGACATATACTGGTATATATTCTTCTGGGCTTTGTTTTTGTAGTTTTGCCAAAACCTGATCTTCAAGGGACTGGTTTGTTGTTTTTGGTTTCGTGTAGTTGTTGAGTACTTTTGTTGTGTTTGTTGTCTCTAGTTCTAAAGGTCTTTTGTGTATGTTGCTAGTTTTAGTCTTTTCTTCCAGGATAATTATTAACTATCTTACTGTATTTTTATTTTTATTTTTTCGAATTTATTTTTACTATGAAATTGGGATTTACAGGAAAAAGTTTTAAAACAATATTTTAAAAGTCTTTTTTATATAAATTAATTTATAATATTATAGAGAGGTTTGACTGTACATGAAACTAAAAAATTCCGAAAAGAAAATGATCAAACATAAATTACAATTAAGGATAAGTAAAAAATTATTCGATAATTTTCAAAGGTAAAAATTTGACCTTCGATTTTTTTACCGGCTAGCTTAGTCAACCGATAAAAACCTTATGGCTTGTAACACTAGATCCAGATTTACTTATTTGTGCTGGTAGTACAACCCAA